AACCTCCTGAAACTTCCCTGGCAAACCAGGACATGGCCTTTAACAGCTGTTCTTTACCCAACATTTTAGAGAAATCAAGAAAGGAAATGTGGGAGTGGCACTGGGGGAGTTTCTAACCAAATTACGGGACACGATGGGCAGAAAGGTGGATTATGGGCTCGTTGGCGATCGTGGAGTGGTGCATCCCAGCCTGCAGGTAAGAGGGGAGGGGGGGGACAGTGCTCTTTGATCAGCTCCGGACACTGGTCCTTCATATTTGATTCCCGTCGCTGCTTGTCACAACTTTATGTCCTGTTCAGGCAAAACAAAGTGTGTGCTTCGGAACAGTGAGATTTACAAATTTAAGCAGATGTTTATACCATTTCAGGTATACTGGGTAAGGACTCGGTTAGAGGTGTTATATGGGTGCACTCAAGGTAAAACGAAGACTGCTCTAAGTCTGTCTTTGTACCAAATCCAGGTTTATATCCGTTTTAGTAACATATAAATAGAGCCTTCACGGTGTTAAAGCCTTTGTTTGTAATGGTCCGTTGCTGCCCTTCATAATAAGCTCCGTTAAAAAACACAGTTTTTTCCTGTTTTATAGTAACATGGTTTTAGGTAAGAATTTCTGTGAACTATAAATACCTACTTGCTTAATCACTTAGTAAATGAATTTTTATGACCAGTGTTCTGTTAATAGAAACAAGGTCAGGTATGGTTTTCCTGTGATGTTTTGTCAGTGATTTGGAAAACTGTAACAAAATGATTTTTACTGATCTGTCAGCCTACCTGTCCTCCAGGTCAGCTATTTCAGGCACAGGGGTAAGAGGATTTGCTAATACTGTTCCGTTCACAAAAGGAAGCTTAACAATACGGCACCTCCTGCGGGTAGATGCGCCGTGTTCCGCAGTGCCAGCGGAGTACGTGGGCGGATTGTTTTAACTCCAGGAATTCTGGCCTAGCTGACAGGCTAGATTTGCGTTCCCTCTAAATAGCTTCAAACCCACTTACTTGCATCCGTGGTACAAGAATCAGCATCGTGAATTAGTTGCGTTTATGAATTAATAAAAGCCAAACATGACACTGGAAATTCTCTTACTACTTAATACTAGAATTTCAGACTGTTGGTGAATTCACAGTTGTGGCCAGATAATCTTGATTTTTCAGGGGTTTCATAACCTGCAGCACTTAGAATAAGAATTGGGTTTGCTGTGCAGAACTAAACGTTGCATAAGAATTTTTCAGACTATTGCTTGCGTAAGCATAAAGACTATACTGAAAAGTTACCAAAAGTAAAATTTAGAGAATTTTAATGCATATTTTATTGAGAAAGAATACTGCCTTATCTGGCCTTCAGCGGCAAACTGGATGCATGTTAAAAAAAAATGCTTGTCAAGAGAAAATCTGGTATTAGCTGGGCTTCAGGGAACCAGGGCTGCATCTAAATAGTGATTTTCCCCTCAGAAAAGAATCAACATTTTCTAATCCCATTCCTTGCAGGTAAGTAGGCAAACTTTCCCTCCTTTTTAGCTGGGAAGAAAAAGATGTAAAATGGTGAAAATCATCTTAAAAGGGAATTCTGGTCAGTGACTGGAAGTTGATAATAAACCCTGTATTGAGTAGAAAATCAAACTGCCATTTTTCTAGGAAGGGAAAGTTCGTTCTTGTGGCGGGGCACGCGTCTTGGGGCTACATCATTACTTTCTTCAATAGAATTGCCTGTTGATGGTTCGACTTGGTGTACATTGTTCCTTCATTTTGATCACTCAGAATTGATTCCAGACCTCTCAACAGTCTTCCGCTGAACTTCAGTCTTGGCTAATTAAAAAAAGGAAAACTAGTTTTGTGCTGTAGCTGAGAATTCTAATTTGTGCCTTGGCTACTAAACCCATGAGAAATCCTGGCCTCCTGCAGCCAGACCACAGAGGCCCAGGGCTGTGCGGGCAGAGCAACTTCCTTCTCAAGAGGAAGTTAGCGTCGCCCAGGATTTGGGTTTATTGGCTGGGCAGCACAGGAGCAGCTCCTACTTCCCCATAGGTGCTTCCCTCTAGTTTGCGTGTTGTTTAGCTACGTGTCCTGTGTTAAGGGGGCGGGGAGGTGCGTGTTTTTCCCTTAGAAGACTACTCAAATTGTTGTGTTTTCTGTTTTGTTTTATAGGAAAGTGGCAAGAAACTTGAAGAAAACATTTATTATTTTGGAACTACAGTGAAAGGCCTGCTAAGTAGATTTGGCAAGGTAACTTGTTTTTCCTGTTATCTTCGTTATCGAATAGTTTATCCTCAACCAAACTGGCGTGGCTAGAATCTAGAGTGGAGTGTGTGTACGGCAAGAGCCAGGACTTCCTTTACACAACATGTTTCCATTGAATATGAGACAATAGACTGAAATTCTGTACTCGGATGTAATGGACAGCTTTTGTTTAAAAAAAAAAAAACAACAAAACACCAAAACCCAAAGCCAAAACCCAGCAATCTTGGTGAATTAGTTGTTTTCTTCTACCTCCGTAAGCACAAATCCCGCCTGCTCCAGTGACTGTTTTAAGAGCTTGCTGTGAGCAGTCACTGGAACCCATTGCCCTGTTCCCAAACGAAGAGCTATACCAGCAGGTTTGGAAGTGGCGCTGTTCATCTGTATTGTACAGCAAACGAATCTGTAATTACGCCGTGCAAAGCGGTGTAGTTATAATAGGAGAGACTGAACCTAGAATACCCTGGGTTTTCAATTTTGTGACAGTTAATATCTGATGTGTTCTCAACACTTATCAGACTAGGCCCTGCCACATTCTACCTTAACTAAGACATATTGTGAACAGGCTTAATATATTTGGTACTTGAATTTCAGTGATTTTGGCATTTACCGACGTGATTCCAAGATGCAGCAATTTTACTGTTGGGTGCAGCCAGACAGACTGTTAAAAGGCAGAACATAGTTAATCTGAAACTTTCTGACTTGGGGTAGAAATTCTATGTAACAACTTACCTGTCTATGCTAAATAAGTATGAGCCTAAATACCAAGTATGAAAAAAAGTGTAACTTTATGAACTACAAGCTAATAAGCGTTTTTTACTCTTCTAGACAATAGTGGATGAGCAGTTGGTTCTGAAGAAAGTGGCAGATACAGTTATTAATTTATATGCAATGACAGCAGCTATTTCCAGAGCTAGCCGGTCTATCAGTATCGGTCTAAGAAACCATGACCATGAAGTAAGTGTACTTTAGTATCAGTCATACCCATTGAATGTCTGCGCTCCTTGGATCGTGTAGCTTAACAATCAGTGTTCATTACCATTCTGCCTCACTACGTGTTTTGTAATAAAGAGGCACTACGCAGCCTCAGACTTCCCTTGAAATGTTTTACAAGGCTCTAACCAGATGCTTTTGTCTCGACGAGCCGACTTTTCCCCTCGACTCTGAAGCGTGCACGAGCATGATGCAGTCCTAAAAGAGTGCTGTAAAGCAGCAGGCGCTGCAGGCTAATGTCTCAGACTTTGCAAAACCTCAGTGACAAATAGCTTTCATTACACTGAAAAGGACACTCTGCAGTTGTTAAGAACTTACATCTATCACTGCAAACTCTCCCATAAAACTGACAGCGCACCAGGATGTTTCTAAGAGCGCAGTAACCGCACCAGTTGCCTCTCAGGTGCTCTGAACATACGAGTTGCATGCTGTCAAAGTACTTAAAATATTTTAACACAGACGTACACATTTATGAATGAATTACAAATTTGCAGGTTCTCTTAAACCCGCTAATACCATGCAGTTCTTCCACAACGCTTTCCATAAAATCGTTAATAAATAGTAACGTATAACAACAACAGTATTTTGTCAATAAATTTATTGACAGCAAAGTGGTCGTTTGACACACAGGTGGTTGTGTAGTAGCTCATTTAAAGTTTCATGGTAATGGTTATGCTACATGACAAGTAAATTTGCTACTGTTAAGCGTTAGACAAATCCAAACTGATTAACCTCTGTCTTCACTGGCCTTGAGACTTCAGATTTTGTGTGTGTAAGACCCTTCTGGACTTACTACCAAAAATGTCTCCTCATCAGTTTTGAGTGAAGGGGTCATCCCAACTCTGACGATCGGTAGCTGTGGGGAAAAAATACCAGCTAAGCTTGCAACATACATGACAAGCTTGCGGGGCTCCATTATCAAGAGACAAAACTAGAATTCCAGAAATTTAAATGACTCTATTTTTACTACATTGTTTTGTTTATGAAATTCATTTACTAGTTTTTTTTAACTGAGTTTTACTATTCTCTCAGGTGCTTCTTACAAATATCTTCTGCACAGAAGCGTATTTCAAGAATAATTATGCCATGGCTCAATTACAAAAATGTAAGTTCTGTAAAATAAAAGGATTTTTATACTCGTGGCTTTCACAGACTCCAAACAAAAGTAGGCGGTTTTGATGTGACCAACAGAATAGTTTCGCTCTGCCTTTAATAAGGATGAGGAACAGAACTGGTACCAGCTGAATATAAAGAGTCTCTTCATTTAATAGATAAACCAAACCACAGCAATTCTTTTTGTCCAGCTGTGGGGAGGAACATGAAAGCTGTCAGTAGCAAATACTCCTGTAGAGAAAATATTAGATAACCAAATGGGTCAAATACCCATTGTTAAGTACTGACCAGTTGGGCGTTTGGTCTGTGAAACTCGGTCTGCAATAATCTTTTCCAGAAGATAATGTTAAATTATTTCCTGGCACTGAAGTTTAGACACTTGCATTTGTATTCTAAAATCCTTTTTGAAAGAAGTTTAGAAAAGCTATTTACGGTACTTCAGTTAACTTTCCTTCTGTTTCTCCACAGACGCAGATGAAAATCTGGATGACTACATTAAAAAAGCTGCAAAGCAGGTACTGGAAAAGAGAGCCTATACCTGTTCTCATCCACTGGACAGGACATTCTAATTACTTCACTGACAGCAAATACTGATGAATGTAAAACAGCGACTAATTTTCTGCAGTTCAAGTATTTGACACCTTAAAAATAACTATTTCATGAGTTTACCAAATGTAACTAGCTGTAACTGTGTAAAATAAAACTTGTAAACACAACTTCATATGAAAAGGATAAATCAAGAATTTTATTTAAATCTCAAGTTACCTTATTAGACGTATGTCTGTCTGTTTGCCTTGGAGCTAAAGACAGACAGTTGAGGTTCGGACAGCGAGCTGTGTTTTCCCAGGGAAAGGATTGGGTGTTTTGGTAAGTGTCTTTCAGCTTAAATAAGGTACTTACCTTGAGAGAAGCACTGAAAGACTTGCAGAATCAGAACAATGCAGTTTGCAAGGGACCTCCGGAGGTCCAGCGCACTGCGGACAGCAGCGCCAACGACAATCGTCATTGCCTTGTCCAGGCGAGTTTTGAGTATCTCTAAGGACGGGGGTTTCACTGTCTCTCTGAGCTCCCATTTGAAAGTTTTTCCTTGCATTTAATCGGAATTTCTCCACACTTTGTTCTTGGCCAAGGCTTAAGACCAATTAAGGCTTACACTGCTGGCCCCTTTGCTTTGTTTTGGTTTTTTTTTTTACAAACAATAAATAGGGGGGGTTATGTAAATACAAGCTGTCATCTCTCTCAAAAAACCTCTCGAGACAGTAGAGTTTTCATGAGCATTGTTCAGACTTGATGACAGTTTACACATTTCCACCCCTCCCCCCCGTCTTGCTAACCCCCAAACAAAATTTGGCTACCTCTTAATTATCCCTGCAAGGTCAGTTTTATCCAGTGACACATTTCAACAGTGTCCCCATATTTGCCTTTGGGAATTATTTGCTGGCCAGATTTCATGAGGAGGGCAATTATGTTGGGTCACAGGTATACATTAGCAATTAATCTGTTGTTCATGGAGTGCTTTCTGTTTACCAAGTTACCTGTATCCAGGATAACTTCGCTCCAGCGTATCATTCTGGAGAGGGTGTTCCTGGTGTGTGAGGATGGTGGCGCATCCTCCTCTTGCAGATTGTTCTCTCTCACGAACAAAGGAATGTTCATAGCAAAGTAACCTGGAATAACAAAGGACGCCTCGATCAAGCTGTATCTCTTTATCTGCAAATTCCTAATAAGTGTTGCAATTGTTCAATTAAAGATGTTTACTAAACACCACTGAATGTGTAAAATAATTCACTGTAATAGGCAATGAGCTCACCACTTGCATCAATTACTATGACTATGTACTTCATTCTTGTTGCTCAACAGCTCTTAGGAGAAGTGTGATTTGAACAAGGAATTTTGATCATCAGGTGCTGTACCATTTAAAGATCGGTGTGGGCTCTGGCAAAATTTGCTAACAAACAGCTTAGTAGTTCTGAATCAGCTAACACAGACCATAATTTTGTGAGCTAACACCCTGTTTCCTTAGATGCAGCTCTGCCTCGCCTTTGGAAGGTAAGAGGCCAGCTGTGAAACGACAGATCTAGTGTTTAACCTAGTAAAATATCAGGTTCAACACAGGAGCTAATGAATCATCATTTCACAAGTTGACACTCAAAAGGCTAAAGTCTGACCTTGTTAAGCATGATTTCTGTCTCCTGTGGGATTCTGAAAGATTACATTTCTGCAAGAACCGAATAATTAAATGAAGCAAAGCAGCATCTTGGACTGTGTGATGGCATGACAGCAAAATAAAGGTCAGAACTCATCGCCCACAATGAAGAAAAAAACACCAATTAAACCGCTTTGTTCCACATGTAATTGAGATAGTAACTACAAGTTTCCTGTTAATGAAAGACTTGCTGTCTGATACAGTTTAGTTTAGAAAGTTCAAATAACGTGAAACTTCTGCAAATTTCTAGCAGTTAAATTAAACTGGAAAGGTAAAAACTGCTCTTCAAAAACTTAGATTTGTATTTCTTAGATCAGAAATGCCGCAGCCTCCATTCTCCAGTGTCTCTGACGGCACCGTGGAAAGCTCAATCTGTGAACATGTAGGTAATACATAGTGACACCCAGGGTCAATGTTTCCTTAATTCTGGAGTTTGGACTTGAAAGGGAGACCTCCAGAGAACACTGGGTTGTCCTACATAATTGATTTGTTTCTTTGGGATACACCCTAAGAATTTGTCAACCTAGTGATTTATTATTCTAACGTCTGTATCCTGTAGCCCTTTGAGGCACACCATATAAAATGATGTGGACCCACTTGTGCTATTTCTAGCAATTAGGTTGGCTTACTTGACAGCTGCGCCTTGGAGTTTTTCAAACTTCTCATGCTCTCTGTTGTGCCGGGGATAACATTCTTGCTCCACTTCAAGCTGCGCTGGTCGTCAGGAGCTGGTACAAAGCCACTGGTGGTGTTCATCTTTTTTCCCAGGAGGGCATCCGAAGTGGTGTCGCAGGGCTGGTTGTCCAACACTGACAGGGCTGGGATAGGCTAGGACACGAAAATAGGGGCTGGTCAGGTGCTCAGCCAGCTAGGCTTTAAAAAAAAAAAGAAGTGAGGAATGTCTGCCTATACAGGAAGTTTTGGGTGCCTTTGAGCTCCAAGGTGAGGCAATTTTTAAATGCCTAGACTTCCCAAAACATGGTCAAGAAAATGAAAGCTCTTGCACCCTCATATACTATTACATAAATAAGCCCCAGAGCGTTTACCTTACAGGCAAACTACAAGGTTGGAAATGTACACAGCTAAAGCACACGTTACTCAAACACACACTCTTACAAGCCTCTATTTGAGATCACACTTTTTTTTTTTTAACATTTAAAAAAAAAGCCATTGTGTGCAACCTTTGTGCTTCAAAAACCTTTAAGATACAAATCACAAGCTGATTCCTGGTGTTAAGTGAAAACAACAACAACACAAACTCCAAAACCACAACTGCCCATTTAGTCAGTGCAGGTTAAGCTGCAGCTTGGAGGTGTCCACAGAGATGTCATGCAGCCCTCGGGAGGTTTGCTTGCCTAACCCACGAGGAGAAATATTTAGCAGAAAACATCCCCGTAATCAAATAGCTGCACCAGATCAGAGAGAGTTCATACATACATACATACACTCAGAAGCATGATTTGAACGTGAGAAGTAACACACTGGGCCAGATTACACTCGCAGAAGGCTAAATAAAGCGCATGGTTTGCGAGACAGTCCAGCATTTGAAGCAGGTACAGGAAGCCTGCGTGCATTAAAATGAAAAAAAAAAAAAAAAAAGGTCCATATTTGCTTTTTAAATCCTGTTAGGAGTACAAAGCCTGCACCTAGGAATAGGCTGTCTCCCGCTATGCACAAACACAAAGATGAGCTGGTGTCAGTTATCAGCTGGAGAGAGGGAGGTGCACAGCTGGACCCCAGTGCACCAGGATGAGCAGTGCCACCTCGGGAAGGGCGGTCGGAGCGCCTGAGCAGTAGGCCGAGCGATCCCTCTGTGTTCCAGCAACGCCCAGACCTGTACGGATGATACAACCTTTCATCAGAGAGCCAGGAATCCGAGTCGGGAAGACAGGGAGGGGAATTGCACCGCTTATATAGGGTGGGAAAAAAATCCGCAGCACGTAGCAACCAGCTCTAAGCTGCTACAACAAAGAAGATTTAGGAAAAAAAAAATATCAGGTGAAGCAGAAGGTGATCATAGACGGATGAGTAGAAAATAGTGTAAGAATGAGCAGCTAATAGAAGGCAATGGCACTAAACTAGCTCATGGAGCTGAGATACTGTGTTCACCATTCTGAAAACACTCTTACATAAAAATAAGCAGAAAATAAATGATGTTGTGATAATGTAACTCTGCATGTTTAGCTTTAACATATCCATCTTGTTTAAATTCTATGTTCCTTCAGCCAGGCATGTCATCCTGCAAGGACGTTGTCTTTCTTTTTCTGTCAGAGGGAAAAAACACCATTCTGGAAAAGGAGACTAGTTTGGAAATAATTAAAAACAACAAGAAAAAAAAAATTTTTTTTTTTTTTTTTTAATTCTTTCTTCCAAAGCAGACCCTTAGAAGTTAAGGCACAGAACCTCTCCTTTTTAAAGGGATGTCTGTCTTTGCAACAGAGTAGCCAATTTTGTGAGGCAAGACAGAAACGTCTTCCTATGGGCTGTAGTTGGAAGCCTTGACAAATGTGTTTAAGAAACCTGGGATATGAGCGAGTCAAGTCTGATGATTGCCATAAGTAGAATGTCATGAAGTGCAAGCTGTACATTACCTAATAAACTAATACAAGTATTTATATGCAATCTAGCAAAAAAGGCTGTGTATTGGAATTACAGGAAACAGGCAAGGAGTCCGAGAGGGACAAGTTTCATAGTTTGAACAGCCAAATCAAAACAGAAAGCCAAGCACAGAGAGCACAAAGGGATACTCAGTTCAAAGCCTGACACTGTAGGTGGAGGAGGCCAGGCAGCTTGCTGCAGAGTGTCCATTTAATACAAGGATGGGCACTCAGAATATTAAAAATAAAACAAAATAAAAGGGGGAGGGTGGGAGTTTAATGCTGCTTTTGTTACCAACATTCTCGTAGTTCCTGTGTTTGTTTTGCTAGAGCTTTGTAGCCCCACAGTGAGCTTCAGTCCCTTTGATCAAAATCAGCTTTAAAAGCATGCTCAGGGTTTGGGTCAGTCATTTAGATGCAAGCACTGACTATGATTCAGCCAACAAAAGAACAGTTAGGTGCAGGCCACCCATACAGCTTTTCATATTAATGAGCACAAATCCTTTAGTCTTGCAAACTGGGGTGTCTGCGTGGGATTTTTACACCGACAGGCTGAAGTGCAAGGCTCAGGAAGTCTATACAGCACTATGTTAATCAAGAGAATACATGGCCAGACATTTGGCATCGTCTATAGAAGCGCATCGACCCCTACATTTCATTAGGGGACATCACAATTTCTTTTAGAGCTGCTAAGCCAGCTGGCCAAAAATTGTTCTTCTTTTCTCATCCACTGCACGCTGACAGGCAAGTTAGTTAATTGAACAGAAATCCTCCCCATTATCTCTCAGCATCAAAGCAAAGAATTAAAAAAAAAAAAAAAAATGAAAAAATCATTCTGTGCCCTGGCTGATACGTTTTTCTAAGAGCTTTGTAATAAGATTGAGTCAACCAGTGCTATGAACATCAATTTTAACAAATATTTTTACTTCCAAAAGTATTGTGCTAAATTAAGAGCGTCACACATTATCTGCCTTCCACAAAGTGCAGGACAGCTGTTGCTGCGCAGAGGTAGGTACCAGGGTCAGTACCCAAAGACAGTTACCCTTTACCTTCAAAATTGGTCCTGCCTTCCTGAGTGAGAATTTCAGAGGTTCATCTTTCAGAAGTCCTTGGAGCTTCTGTAGCTGAAACGTGGCTCTTGGCCCACGTGTGGATAACTCAGGTGCTGTGGAGCGCCGATGAGCTTTCAGCTTGGTATCATCAAACATGGTTTGCAACGTCTGCTCAGCATCTTCACAAGGCCAACAACAGAAAAAACAGGCAATAGAAACCAGTTAGATGGAAAAGGTAAGTTAAGTTTTGGCTGTTTGAACTAAAAAAAAAGTAGGCTAAAAGCCTCTATTGTAACCAAACAACCATTCACACAAGGATTCAACTAAAACAAATGATACAGGTATTAGAATAATGGCTAGTGCCCGCAAAGACAATCCACTGTCCTGTAGGCTCCATAAAACACACATGAAAGCAGAATTGATTCTGACTGCTTCTAAAAGCATTTCTCTGTACGAAGCACTTGAAAAGAACTGCACTACGCAAGTGTTTTGCAAGTTACAGGGTAATGTGCAGCAGAAAAGTTGTAGAAGATGAAAGATTCTAGCAACCACAATAAATCTATTATTTTCTGCTTGTAAACATTCCAGTGAATCTCAGATGGTTCTGGGCTAAAAGAAACACATGGCAAACTTTTCAAAATACTGTTTCATAATGAAATACAACTTTGTCTTTTACTGTTTGTGCGAGAACAGGAGGTTTATAACCACCTCACCAAGGCACACTCCAGGCTGCTGTGATAGCATGCAGATTTAACTGGCTCACCTCAGCCCCGCTCCGGGCCAATGATCTGGTATTGCTTACAGTCTGTGAGGTAGCTTTTTGTCTGACCTTGCTAACAACAACAGCTGATCGTCATCAATCTGTATAAAGGAAGATCAGGCAGCCAGCAGAGCTAACTTTACAGAAGAATAAGCCAAGAAGGACCTATACCTCCCTGTCATATTTTAACATAGACAAAGGAACTTTGGCTAAGAAGTTAGGTAAATGGAGGGGTAAAATTGGAGTATGGCCAAGGTCTTGCATCCTAAGATGCCCCGTTTGCTAGAGTACAAACAGTTTTGCTGCACACGGATCTCCTTGCTAAGCCTCTTCGCATTCAAACTCCCTTCCCTGATGGCAGAACTGAACAAGCTTCGGTACCGTATGTCAGAGCTTCAAGTTAAAAGCTTTGTGATTAGTTAATCTTAGATCCATTACCAGTCTGTGGGGCTGTTGTCATGAAGAGCTCAGGTGGCTTCTTGTAAAGATCAAAATCAATGTGCCGTTTGTCCCAGCTCCATCTGTCTCGTGACAGCACTGGCTCCATGTTAGCATGCAGAGCATTCTCCTGCCATTTCTAAATGAAAATTGAATCCCTTTAAGAAGCCAGGCCAAAATCACCAGGCAGGAGTCACAAAAAGTAAGTCAGACAGATTATTGGGTAGCGATCCAACAACTACCGTAATAGGATCTCACTAAAGTCCAAACTTCACTACACAAGACTATTTCTCTCTGTAAATAGCCTTTCAATTTGATATGTTTGATACACATGGATAAGAACAAAAATCCGTTTCATGAGCAAGCTGCTGATATTCTAGTACTGAGCTGCTACCTAACATACAGGCACTTACAGTATACTTGAGAAATACCTGGCAGGGGATTCAATTTGATATTTACGTCGCATTTCTCTGCAGCGATATAAGGGGTCTGATGCACTCTCCTGCATTTCATAACACAGCTGCTAAACTCGGAGGTGAACACAGACCATCCCTCTTGTCAATATCCTCCTCCGCACAATGAGACTGTGAGAGGACAGACCCAGTCCAACACCTAACTAGTTATTTATCTTATCCCAGCAGTAAAGAAGTGGATTAGCTGTACAGAATTGCCAGAACAGTGAGAGCTATGTATCATCTCAAGGATAATCTTAAAGCATAGTGCTTTTAGAAAGCACAAGCTGTCCTAGTGCTTCTAAAAATACAATCATTAGTATTAAACTCCTGGGGCCAAGAGCCCAGGTGTCCCGAGGAAGCAGGTGAGAGAAGCAGCACGTGCACTGGAATCATGGCAGGAATATTCATCATCGCAATTGTGAAATAGAGTTAAACTCTTTGTGGTCCTCTGACTACCCACTGCTGAAACACCAGTTAGATTTTTTCAGACAAAACTATCCTTCCGAAGCTACAAATTAACTCCCACTGTCTGTTGTTAGCCCCTTAACTGCACAGCTTTAGGCAAAACAGTGAAAGTAAAAGATAGACGAGTCAGTGCAGAAACTGTATGGAGATATTTTAGGAAACCAAAAGAACTCCAAGAACTTTTTTGCCATACAAAAGATGGTCAAATTCTGTCTTTGAGAAGAAAAACAGAAATGGTTAAAGAAGCAATGTATCAAAACCAGACTGCTTCAGAATGGGATCCAAACAGTTTTCTGCTTTTGTTCCACCTTTCAGGTAACATGAATGGTAAGTTCAGAATCAGCCTCCATTATCCAATATAATGCTGGTCATGCCTGTGAGGTCCCTGCTTGAGCAGAAGGAGCCTCCTCCCTCTTTTCTCACAGCTCCATGGCTAGCATTGATGCTACACAGCTATTGGTACTGCCAGGTTACACTTGGTGTCGTTCAGGGTAAGATGTCAGCTCTCTTCCCCTCCCTCATCCCATCAGTAGGTGCCAATGGTCAATACAACATACTAGTCAACTGCTACTCCCACACCGAATATCACAGTCCCCCATTTATTTCAGTTCAGTAACTCTGGTGTCAGTCATCAGCTGCGGCACTGTAAGCCTCCTGACCCTTTTTCAGCTTGTCAGTTTTTGATCCCGTACTGCCCAGTTCCCCTCCTCTTTTTTATCTCTTCGGCAAAAGGCACCAGCAATTATACTGTACTGGTTGGCTTATGAATCTTCTCTGCTCCTTCATGAGAAGACACATTCTCCAGCATCATGGATCAGAAAAAAGCACTTTGTTTTCACTAACCATTTCACTTCAGCTATACTCTAATCTTTTTGAGAAACTACTTTAATTTGCATGAAAAAATTGTAAGATAAATAAAGATAAATTAAATGAACATGTACACTCAGCTATAATCTTTTTGAGAAACTGCTTTAATTTGCATGAAAAAAAGTAAGATAAATAAAGATAAATTAAATGAACATGTACACATTCTTGCAAGATACGACACCGAGCCTCCAAGCATTCAGCTTGTTCCACTCTGTGCTGTGACTGTGTTCAATTAATTTGGTAGAATTTACTGATCCTGCACAAAAAAACCCTGTTCTATTCCCTTTATTTCCTCATCTTGCCAATTCTAATAACATCCAAATTTTCTTCCTAACAGCAGACCACATGCGCTTGAGTGCTGAAGACTGTTCAAAACAGGGAATTGTAAACTAGTCAAGTTGATGATCCAGTAAAACGGCAGAAAACTAGAAGCTAAATAGTAAAGAACAGGAGAAGGGAGAGAGGACACAGAGCAGGAAAAAACTGATAGAGAACACAGTGGTGGAGGACAAACACCCCATAAAACTGTAACTACAAACCATAAATAAAAGATGGAGAAAAAATAAGCAGTGAGGGAATTTGGAAACACGAAGGAAGGCTACGATTAGATTGGCAGCTCATGAAGAACAACCTGGAACCCATTCATCATGGAATGCAATATTATGATTTTTCTGACACTAGACCCCACTTGTAAATGTAAAACAAAGCACTATATAGTCCATTAATACCTATTAATATCCAATTAATATTGGCAAATGGGTTGTCTGTATGTGTTCAGGGTAGAATTTGTGTATCCAAACAAAATATCACCTGGGTGAGCTAGATGCTGATGTACCCAAATTCCAAATATAGGTGTCACCCTCAAAAGAGCTGCCTAGGCTATACCCCTCAAAAGAGACTTCCGTACGCTAAAACAGTCTGCCTCTTTCAAGTCTCCCAAAATGCTCAAGTTCACTTTGGACTGTTCATTTAAGTTCTCTGTTACCTCACTTAACTCCTCCAGACGTGCCTCATCAGGCATCCGAGGGTGCAGGTTGCTTTCAATGCTGCTCTTAAATCCAGGAAATACAAATCCATCTGGTGACAGCCACATACTCTTGGATTTTGCAAAGGATTCCTTACAGGCAGCAACCACATCCACTGGGTCAAATGTGGCTGACAGATACTCATGACAATAAGTGAATCTGTTCTTTGGTACCTACAAAAAAAAGGGTTTTTTGGTTTTTTTGTTGTTGTTAATGTGAATTCCCCTTTGCTGGGAGAGGAGCCCATAAGGTACAGAACCAGTACCATTTCTTTCCTTAAGACTGCAAGTAATCGTAGATCAAAATTATACAAAATACATATCATTAAATATTAAAAAATGTTTTAAAATTTCATTCTGTTAGGATCCAACAATGGATTCAATGACAAGTGCTATAACGGGATCTCTGTAAAATAATTACAGCAAGAAATATCTTTAATGTTATTTGCGCAAAAAGAGAACTGTAGTTCCTATTATGAACAGTTTTCACAGAGCTATAGTAATTGCCACTAGCTGATAGGAAAATAGCATTTGTTATTAAGATTCAAGCCAGCCATCCAGACAAAAGCAGATAAATGTGGTTCTTCAAATGTGTTCTTCAAATCACTTAATACCGCATATGCCAACACTGCGATTACTCAAATTCTCCCACTTACTGAGTGTGAGACTCAGAACTGGAAGTGACCACCTGGGTCACCAAAGTCCACAGTCAAAATGACAGCCCAAGTCACGGAGACAAGACAACTTGACTATAACGAACGGCATGAAGAGCAGACTTTTACACCAGAGTACCTTTCAGACTGAGATCTTTTTGGATACCAACTTCCCTTCCTACGCTCTAACATGGGAGTTACTAGTGTAAACCCATTTAATTCATCTCTCTCTTTCAGCACCACATACAGCAAGCAAAAATCTTCCAGTTATGTGTCTCAATTCACCTTTGCCATTTCCTGGCGAAGATGCTTCTTTGCAAGTTCTGCAGAATTCAGGCTTTGAGAGCTGTAGTTAAAGACAGATTTGCCATCAACAGGAGAAATCCTGAAAGCTTCAAACTTTGGCTTTTTCATCTTTCCTTTGAGTTGGCATACAGCACCAATGTTAGCCTGCAAAGAAAGATTACATCTAAGTTCTGTCTGAATTGGTAATTCACACTGTTATGAAAAAATTATAAACAAGCAAATGATGCTGTAAATATTAAAAAAACAACTTTAACAAAACAAAAAAAAAACCTAGAAAAAATCTATGATAGATTTATTACACAACAGCTCTTTGTTAATAAAATACGCCACAGAAGACTCTATTAAAAAAAAAATAGCACCCTTGCATATGACATTCTGCAAGAGTAATAGCAGTAGACTGGAGGCAAGCACTCACCAGAGAATGACTTCTACTTACAGATGTAAATAGTTGTTCTGGAGAGCTGATGCTGATTGTCTTCAAACCAAATAAGATTAGTTCTTTCACCTCTATGATGCCATTAACACCCCAGCAAATACAGTGACATGGCAAACACCATTCATTAGGACTCTTCAAATTTCCCTACTGACACAGTATAATTAAACCTCATACCTTTTCGTTGACTTAAGAACGTCGTTCTACTGTGTTTATGGTAATTATGGCTTTGAATTCAGACTCTGCCATAATAGGTAATTACAGCAAGAGAGTAAAATTGCATTTTGAATGTCATTTCCCTGTGACATCCACTTCCCTTTTTTTTTCTTTTTTTTTTTTTTTTTAAATCAAAAAGCCTGAAAGGTTACTTTACCTGCTATTAAAAAAGAATTTCGTATTTTCTTTTCTATAAAGGACTTCCCAGTTCCTCTATTATCCTCTTGATTCAAAAGCATGTATAAAATGAAAACTGGTTAACACATGTACTTTGGAAAGACCGCTAAATTTATACAAATAACAAAATAACTCTACACTTCATCTGTACAGAATGATTAGGCCTAAGAGCTCTGCTGCTCTCATCCTCCTATGATGTTATAAACGCAAGCACCAGGAACAATTACTTAAGATAGTCTTCTTTTCTAGCCTCATATAATACTCCTTTATCAACAGACTGACTGAAAAAGAAAATATGTAGGAGTTAAGTTTCTTTCAATATCTCCAAGACAGTACCCTTATACAGGAACACAGATTTCCACATATCAGGCAAAACCTCTTTGTATTAAAATATATACAGGAAAAAACATTCAGAACTATTCTTCACAAACCACGGGATGGCTAGAGTCCTCAACTAAGCAATATGCTCCAAAAAACAATTCAGCCTCCCAGGAAACATGCGGGATACCCCTTCTTTGATGTCTATATTAACAGGAAAGGGTTTAGTTTCGACACGTTTTCCCTGAGGCAACAGAAGGGGTAGATGGACGCTGGAAACAAGCCAGAAGAGGTTCTAAAATTCTTCACCGTTTCCTTAAAGCCCAGCTCAGCTCTGTCTGCAACTGCTGGCTGTATTTAGTCAAGAATAAATGCCATTCTGGTTGCCCAAAGGCAAGCAGGTCTTTCACACGGCAAGAGACGAAAGCACAATCTTCACGTGCTTAGTTGGCTTGGTCCCCCGCAATCATCTGAAGCCTGAATGACATGCTAAAACACAATGGGGGAGCTATGGAGAAGAAAGAGACAAAGAAAAACAGGAACCAAACCCCAAAAGAAATTACAAGTCCTTTAAATAATCAGTTTCCTTACCACTCACACAGTGTCTCCTCTGTTTACCTGTAAGCATTAGAATTGTTTTCCCCTTTGAGAAGCAATTAGATTTGCAATTCAGCTTTTGCAAAATAAAATGACCCTGCACTTTTTTATAATGTTTGCACAACACCTACAAACACTTCACCAAAAGTTTCTAAGTCTAATGAGTCATCGTTTCAGGAGAAGAAGGTGTTGATTAAGGATATGAAGTTTTGCAACTATTGGGCTTGCCTCTTGCCTATCGCAAACTACTCACCCCAATATGGTTTCTCTCAAAAGACTTTTTGTCTGCTATTTCTTTCTTCCGCTGCACACACATTTCATTGTAGTTATCTAATGAAGAATATACTGCCTGTTTCACTCTGCTAACTTTTCCTGGTACTGTATAATCATCAGAGGAAACCGAGAGTAAAGGAGGTTTCTGAACGAAGAGATCCTCATCAGTTAGGGGAACTCCATACCGGTGACTCAAGGCTGTGATCATCTCTGCTGAGGGCAGCAGATCCCCATGAATTACATCCCTCAACCTCTTACTGCGACAGAGGTAACTGAGCCTACAAATAGACATCAACATTTTATTAGCTTGCAAAAACTTTACTGCCATCAAATCATTACAGTTAATATTACTGTGGAAAAAACTGTACAACCTTCTTGAAACATCTATTTATTAAGAAGTTCAGGTCAGTTCATGTATGCTGGTACTTAGCAGCAATAAAGAAGGTTAGCAGTTTAATAAACCTACTATGAATATTCTAGGAATGCTGCCGGCACTAGATTTAGCTGCGAGTTAATGATTAGTTGCTGAATTTCTCTAGCCTCTGGCTGGAAAGGCAATAAAGCAAAGTCCCTTCACGCACGCTGGTTCTAGTGTATGACCCGTATTTATGTTGATTGCTCACTAGAATCCATCCTGCCTTACCTCTGTTTTACTTCTCATTCTGGTCAAATTTCATTCTATGTGCTATTCATGACAACGCTTACCTCACATCTGATTTCATTCACTCAATTTGGCCTGCAAGTGTTAACTAGTGTTAACACAAAAGCGGTTCTAAACATATGACAGCTATTGCACACCACACACACACTTTGTATACAAGCACTTAAATTCAATTCTCAGCCTCTCTGGCTCAGGCCACAGCAGAGGCCACGAAATAAAGTGTCTTACCTAATAGCCAAACGTAGTATTATGATTCCTTGCTAAAACTGGAAATTTGTTAACTCATTTATCACATAACTATCATTTATTTGGGGAGAGTAATTTTACAAAGTACTGTAAAAGAATTCAGTTGTAAAGTTACTGCAACAACATTATTTTCTTACCATTACTTCTGAACAATACATACAACTGATAAATAACATTAATTTCAAAGTTGCATCAGCATTAATGACACAAATTGAGTTTATATCAGTATGTTAAAAATTAAATTGGCCATTGTGCATATGGATCATGTGCATTAGTTTTTCTACAGTTAAAATTAATTTTCTGGCTAATTCTAGCAGAAGGAAATATATCAGGAAGCAGCAGTTTCTGTTGTGCACACATTAAACCAGTGACTGACTACAGCAAACCAAAAAACAGTAAAACAAGAGTTCTACAAGTTAGAGACTGCTCCTGAACACAGTTCACAGTCTGTATACTCCAGTGGAGAATTTACTTGTATTTCTCCGAATAATTACAGACACAGTGGAATGAGGGTATGGCAGAAAGGACTAACACCCAACGCCCGGCAGACATGATTCACTCATCTGTGATGGTGGGTTGCTGAGAAGAGCTGGTGTCTAAAAGGACATTGTCTCAGCCACTAACGATGCTTTTACTGAGGTTCTCTCTGATTTTATAGCAATGAGTACTATGAAGTACAGTAATCATTCCTGCAGCTTCCCTTCTCTCTAGTGGAAAAATACCCCCCTGCATTTAAAATTATCCCAGCCATCCCGAAACCTTCACTTTCAGTGCAGGAACCTGAGCTGCAGCTACCTAGCAAGTCGTGCACAGCAGCCAACCTGCTGACTTAATTTTCTTTTTTTTAGACAGGAGATACTACAACAGAATTTCACAAGAAAATTAACTACCAAGTATCTAAAATATGCAGTATTATGTTATTTTCTACCTCAAATACTGCCAACACGTAGCTAAGGGAAGAAAAGTAATTACCAACCATTGTTGAAGAAAAAAAGAAAAAGAAAAAAAGGACTTTTAAGGACACCACAGTGATGGCCACCAGTCACTTTCATATTCTATTCTTTTCTTCACCATCTCACAGAATAAACATGAAACAAGTTACAGATATGTGAAGAGGTACCCAAGTTACATGCAGATCATTAGAATGAATATACTTCAGAACTTCAAGTGTAAAGGCCTGGCCCTTCATTAGCTTAATGAAGTTAAGTTTCATTAGTCATCAGCTAATAAACAGTTCTTGAACTTGAATGAGTCAGCCAACAAGGGGAAACAGGTAGGTATACTCAACCAGCCTGCTAGACTGGAGGTGTACTGCATTTGTTTTTCAGCAACTGCCTTGACATATGCAAAATAAAACTTGTAGTAGGTGGCTAATCCATATGTAATCTATATTATTGAATATGTTTTACCAAAAAGCAAGCATGTGGGAGGGCAAGGGGGAAGGCTGCTACAAGATTGTGTGTATATTATTGCACATCAACAAGAATTTTTTATGAAATCAGATTGATGTCTAGGAAACATTCACTCTTTCTTGTCTGAGGACTAAATGTCCCCATTAATTTCAAATAAGCTCTGCAGGATTTCAGTTCAGAAGTTAATCTAAACAAGCCAGACTATTTCTAGCAAGAAAGAAAGCAATCACAGTTCATGTCTGCTTTCTAAACTCAAGTTGCTCAGATCAAAGATTTGACCTTTTTCCACCTCTCAATAGATGTGTCTTAATTTACAAATAAACAAACAAAAAACCACGCACAGAAATTTTTTCATAGATTAGTAAAATAGAGAGATAGATAGAGATGTATGCACATAAGACTTCACCCACTTTCTTTTTCTTTAATCCATCTCATGAGATGTAACGTCAGAGATGCTTTAAGGCAAACAGCTGTGAATGCCTGCATGCTGACAAAGTGAGCAACCTGGCAGAGATCCAGCAATAAATCAAGCAACAAAACCCCCAAACAAAAAGCCAGGAACAGGAAACATATTCTCCCAACTCTCACAAAACTCTTCCTTTCTGTAGTTACCTTAGGAAAACTGTCTTTAGAATTCCCCACTTAGTGCAAGTGACTTTCTGGATCCATCAAGTCCTATTTGGCCTCCTCCTCTACTCCATCTCTACGAGAACAGAGCAGAGAAGTAAATCCTTCCCAGCTGATTCTTCTGACACCGGAATTTTCTCTTCCTTCAATTTGTATTCTATTCAGATATTTTCTGATCTACTATCCTACTGATATACCTCTCTCCTCTTCCTTACAAAGTATAAATTCCTGCCCAAACTAAAAGTGGGCTCACCAATATCCAGTTACCACTATATCAGCAGTTAGAAAACCATGTTCCTCTGGCTTACCACACCTGATCTAAAATCTGAATTACCCATCAGGCCCACAGACTGCTTTCATCACAGAAAAGCTATCCAAGAGTATTATTTTTTGTATCAAATATTCACTCCGCTTTGCTAACATTTCATTCCTTAATTTCTTGACTATGAATCCAGACGAGTCATACCTGGACAAGGCTTGGAAACAAGCCCAAGGAACCATACCTCTGACATAAAGCAGAGGCTGTTTTGTTATAGTGAAGAGGGGCTTACAGAGGCGGAAATGATAAAAGACAGCTTCTAGGTCTGCATACAGGCGTTGATGGAAAGCCAGTTGTGAATTATATAGTATTTCCAGTTGTCCATCTTCATGTCTGTAAGACCTGTAACAAAGTACCCCAATGACAAGGTTAAAACAATCAGCCCGTATCTCAGGTTTCCTCACTTCTGCAGTACAATTACTCTCTCTAATGAAACTGCTTTGCTTTTGTCCTTTAGATGGAACCTCTTACTCTACAGCCTTCACTTCACATGAACATGAAAAAAATTATTTTGACAAAATTACACAGAAAATATCAAAACTCTCATGACATAACTGAGCTGCATATGTTTTCTTTTTAAGTTGCATGGCAAACATTTGAAAGGAAGCTCACCTCAGTTTCATCAGTGTTGTGCCCCCTACCAGCTACAAAAGTATTATATAAATATTTCTACTACAAATACCAAAATTCATACTGCAGCAGTAAAACAAAGCTTCAATTTAGGTTACAGGTGAGCACTGACAAGAGACAATTTTTCATAAAATAAATAATTTCAGTAACTGCAAGGAAGTGACTTGCATTAAAAAAAAATCAAAATCAAACAAAACAACAAACCACCACAAGAAAGCTTTAACAACATGCTACAGTGCTGGAAAAAATATCAATTAGTTTTTAAGCATAAAATTTGAGGGAGACATTCACTTTGAATTTGTCACATTTTCCCCTAAACTCAAAGGAAGAAACAGCTTGAAGTCCAGCTTCCTCATGGTGACTATTTTTGTTTTAGATCCCATTGAGTATTTTTTGTTATTATTTAGAATTGGCAGATTATGGTGTTGTTTCTACAGACCAAGTAGCAGCTTAACAAAAAAAGTACTTGCTGCCACCCTTCTCATTTTAACTTTACATGGATGATCTATGGTGTAACGTGATAAAGATGAGAAGATTATGCCTCAGGTGAAGCAGCCACTGGGACTCATATCCACTAAAACCACATAGAAAGCATCAGCTATGTACTTGCCCATATATCTTTGTATAGAAAGGGATGGGGGAGGTATAAATCACATTAAAATCTCTGAATCTGAGGAAAAAACTGATGAAAAACCTCAAACTCTCTTACCTTTCAAAGTGTTTATCCCATAGTTTCTTGATTGCTTTGTCTTTCAATCCCTCCAAGACAAAGAGATGAGTTGCTCCATCCAGTAAGTGAAAACCAGTAACAATATCCAACTCTGAAACTTTCTCAAGTGTCGTTTTCAGTTTTAATGCAGCAAGAGCCATTCCGATTAAGTGTACAGGATAGCAGTCCAGCTGGAGGGCTTTAGCATTGATTTCTGTAATCTCTTCCACCAAATCACGTAATAACGATGAATTATTGTAGTCAAAAATGTAGATTATACAACCATATAGGCAATTTGTGACTTGAGCATCAGCAATTTCTGCATGCATTCCCAACGGCACAGCTATTTCCACTCTTACTTTCAAAAGCGAGTCTGATTCTAGGTAATGTCCCATAGGTAGCAGGGAAGAACTACTCACTAATTCTGTTACATTCTCATTTTTATCCTCCTCACTGAAAGCAGCTGTATTTGGAGCTGAACAGTTATGGATGGGAGCACTGATAGTCAAGTACTTTTTACCCAACAATAAATCAGTTAGACTGACTTTAGCTACCCCATGCGGATGCCACACTTTGTTCTTTGTAAACAAATTACAGATTGTGGATTTGCAAGCAAGGAAGCTCACCTTACCCACGTTTTCATCAGCTTCATCCTCCCCAAACAAACATGGCTCTTTTGTGTTGTTTTCCATGTTTCTATCCCGGTCATGAACTTCAATCTCCAAAGGCGGACCTCTAAGATACCTCTGCAATTCCCCAGGTTTCATCGTCCCTGTTAGAAGTACATTAACATCCTTAAAGTAGACATGAGTTCCATGGATTTGTCCATGAGTTCGATGAGGTGGGAAGTTGTGAAATTTGTATTTGCAGTAGGTGGGAACACACAATCGCTAAAGAACAAAAACCAGAGAGAAACAGGTATTTGTAGCGTTAACCTTTTTCCTTTTTATTTTTAACCTCACAGAACAATCAGCTTTTCTACTAGATAAGGTATGGGGGGATGTACTTCATGGCACAAATTACGGTCTTCCAAGGCAGCAAAGAGGCCATTCTACATGCCTGGATCCTGGGTTTGGGGAATATACTGCCCCCTTCATTTGCCTGTCCTCAACTTTGTTGACTTTCCAAATATGTCAGAAAAACTCTCCTTGTTTCTAGATCATTAAAGGAGCACGCTGGGGCTCCTAGACCTTTTTTGTTTCTCCCTGTGCATTCATCTGTAGGATTCGAGGCCTAAAATAAATGCCTATAGCTAGAAGTTAGGAAATTCAACAAGACTCCAGAGATACTGTATGGAATGGACTGTATGATCTCCATTATTAGCCATTTGTTTACAAATCTCGGGAAGCAAATAGGGGGATTCATTCCACAATACTTGTTGCAGTTCCTCCACGTAAGCGTCCATCAGCATTTCGGCAGCCTGCACGGAGTGGAGGCTACCTGTCAAGGACTATCCTGATAATTCCAAATTTGAAACAGTTCATTATTTCATACAGTACCCCAGTTGGCAAGGGAAACAAAGTCAAAACTTCTGTGGTCACTCTGCAGATTGCATTAGAAACTACAGAGTGGTTTTGTCTCCATTATTTATTACATTGCACAGTTACTGACATTTTTTCCCATTTCTCTTCATAAATGCTAAGCCAATTTGCCTAGTCTGTCATAAGCCCTGTAGTGTAGAACTCGACCACAGAAGTATATGCACCATTATAAAGTTCCTGACATATTATTATTAAACTGTTTTCACAAAAACAACAAAACATCCTACTAACGGTAAGGATCAGGCTGATGCAACTTGGACCAGATCTTTCATATACTATTTCCTTATAATTCCACCTCAGCTGAGGATCGAGAAAATAGGTCCTGAAATCAAAGGTCTTTGACTTTAATGTCATTTGCACATCAACCATATATAACACTCAGAAAAGAGCCTTTTTAAAATAGCATTTCTTTAAGCCTAAAAACGCAACCATTTGACAAGGGAACGTATTTTCTAACTCATCTCTCAAAATTTACAAATATAAAACCAAAAACTTTAAACTATATTCTCAACAATTTAGAACTTTTTTTGCTCACAGCATTTTTTAAGATGTGAAACATTTGCTATTTTTTTAAGTTAAATAGTATTTTTAACACAGGAATAGAAGTTGTTCTCATGAGCAAGTCAACACGTACTGACTTGTCAGCAAATTGTTGCAAACAATATAGAGCTGTGACTGAACTAGATCTTCTCTGGCTTACTCAAGATCCACTGCTCAGAAATCAAAATGGGATGACTATATATAAATTATTGCCCTGGGAAAACACAAGGATTGCTGTTTTGCTGCCAGTGCCTATGATAACATAGGCACTAATCTAGCCACATGTTTTTCAGGAAATATGTTAGTCATATTCTCCAATTTTGCTACTAATAAGTAAAGTTATCTTTAAAACCATGCCCATATTTTAAGCAAAGCTACTTGAGGGTAACAAGGAAATTCTTTCAGAAAGAAGCAGCGGTATGTGTTACCTGCAGCACTTCTATCGGTACAGGTGTGTTTGGGAGGCAGGTAGCTGAATTAATCCTTATAATCAGCGGATTCAATTCATGTCTCTGTCTTTCAGACAGAAGAGGTGTTTCCACAGTGAAAGTCACATAAGCATCTAAAACTTTAGGATTGTTTGCTGCCAGACGACTGATCACTGATTTTTCTCCTTTTTAAACATACAAGATTAAATACTGTTATAGAAGCAATCCCATCAAGGCACCCGTATTTGCTGCAATTAATTACAAATCTCCACTGCATTTGTATTAAAATAAAACAAGTATTGTTTTAACTGCTTCAAATATTATTTATCTTTTACGCTAGGGAAGAAAATAGTCCCCAGAGCAGTGTCAGAATGCCTACTTGGGCTAACTGCTGAAAGCACACAGAAGTTTATTTCTGTTTGAAGCTGTAAATATACAGTTTGCATAAACACAAAAATTAAAGCAGCTCAGAGACTTTTCATCATAATTAAACTCTTTGTTAAAGGTGAACAAGCACCTTTAAACAAACTGGCTTCTCTGCAAGCAGCTTTGCACATCCATACACTCAGCAGCTGAGTTCCATGCTGCATGACATATCGCTATTTCTGTCTGCATGCACAGAACAAAGGGCAGATATAACTCACTACACACAAAAATAGGACAACATATATTAATAATGAATGGTAATCAAGTTACAGTCAGAAAACCACAGAAATAACCCACTCTGACCAATATCCCACTTTCAACACGTTCTGAATCAAAGAACTTGGATGTACACGCTGATGGAGAACTACAATACAAATTATTTTTGACGTCCTGCCCTTCAGAGCACACAGACTTCTGAACATATGTCGGCGTCCCCCAGATCAAAACCAAATCCCAAATCTTTCTTAACCAGCCAGCTTTTATGCAGAACATTAAATTCCCTAGGGATCTTTCAAGACAGTTCCCACCAGGCAGACGCACCAGCACAGGTGTTTCAGAGGAGGAGACACGGAGTACACCCAGCATGTTGCTCTTACCCTGCCCCGTCCTAATAGAATAATACCTGAGAGGAGAGGCATGATATCTAACTGCAGTGAAGCAATGCCGTATTTCTTTGCCATAGTAGCATCAATGTTTCTTTCAAGACCAGAACCTCTTCTACCTGTTGATGGAAGGCAGGGTTGGACTGAGTAGGAAGGAGGAAATATTTTGTTGCAATTAATCAAAGACATAATTTAGAATTACTGCAGTAGGTGCCATAATTCAGTATCGTCCTTAGAAAAAGATGTCGCTTATACACTTTAACACCAACTTAGGCTAATATTTCAATATGCTCAAATTTCCATTGCACAGTCCACTACACTATATATAGAATCCCTACTTTACCAGAAAGTTAAATTTGCAACAGCAAGCATTAGAAGTTCATGGAATTACCAAAATAAAATTTATCTTTTCCACCTTACTATTCTTTCCTTGCACATATGCATTACGACACGTATACGGTACTCTTTGTGATATGTATTCTATTGTTTCCAGAAACCTGTATTTTATAACTTTACATCTACAGAACGGGAATATTGTCATTCCTTTACCTCACAAGGATACCATGAAGATAAACTCATTAATATTTGTCATTTTTTAGAGGCTGAGTAATTTTACCCAAAATTCCTTTCGCCGAGATCCAATCTTTGCCCAACCAGTAAAAGCAGTCAATCCCAGCCTCAAGGATGTAAATCCTAGCTTCAGATGCTTTGTCCAATCAGTTAATTAAGTGAATACAGAATTTCAGCACAAGCAGTTTAAGTTTGACAAAAAATGTAGCAAGTGAACACAGCAACTTAAAAGAAGAACTGTAGAAATATTACTGCTGCTGGTCCTGGTTTATTATTCCTTTAATAAAAGGAATGGCAGAATATTTTAAGGACAAATTTAACACTCAAATGGAAGGGGAGAGAGGCATGCAACGTATTACTAAAGTTTTATCTTCTACTAACAATAGTAATGTGACAAGAAATATTAGCAGTACCAAAATGACACTGGGGAAAAAAACAGTCCGCTCTGAACTTAAGCAAAATGATAACCCACATAGAGGACTCCCTACGAAGTGCATAACCGTTTACCAAAAGCTTGTAAATGAAAAGTTCCAACTGCCTTAATTTTGAAAGAAATAGCATGTGGAAGTTTGAGACGTAACTGTGCAGAACTGATCACATAAGTCACAGGTCTCCAGAGTCATGGGAAAGAAAAACCACACCAGAGCCACAAGGTAAACAGAGCAGATGGGGTTCAGGGTTAAGCTCTTCAAACATATCCCTGTGCTGCAACCTGAGCTGCCTAGCACCACCTGCATGCACACAGAAGGGCTCCAAAATGCCTGTCTGTTTCTCTGCGTGCCCTGTTTTGCATTAGTGTTACTACTCTTCAAAAGGTCTGTCCATAAAAGCAGGAGCACCAAACTCTGCCACCAGGGACAGCAACAGAAAACAGTTGTCAAGTAAAGATTCAGTTGACTTATTTTGATAGAACAATACTACAACTGAATGTTATCATTCATGCCGGGTGATGCTTATTGATCAGCAATGTACTTTTCATAATGTGTACTGGGAGCAATGTGTACTGCAACCCTGTGATGCTGTGCTAGTTTTTGGTCAGACAAGCATGCTATTTAACATCGGTGAGTTAATATACGCTCCAGCGTCCACTGTTGCAGTGGTTATCATCTCCTCCCTTCTTTCATAGGGCCTTAGTCAAGTGTAAGCTACAGATGAGAGAGCAAAATATCACTTGGGGGGGCTGTGGTTTTTCATTTAACATAATGAACAAGCACTGGAAATAAAAATGGAGTGTAAACCACAGATCAAAACCTGGCCTCTAGTGGAAAGAGCGATGCAAGTGATATGAAACAACAGCTTGATAATTTCACAGTTGGAATAGTTGTTTTAGCTCCAACATTACTCTTTAACTGTTTCACAAATTTCACCATTGTTCACCCAAGTCCCTTGCAAATATCCATCACTTCAGCCCGGGAACACTCCAAGTGGTAGAAAAGAACCATCGTCACCCCTGCTTCACAGTACTAGCTAAGGGAACTGAAAAAGAAAGTTTTATTAGCTGCTGAAAAAAACACAGAAAGCTCATGGCAGAGCCGGGACTAAAGCACAGGTCCCGTAACTCTTACTTCTTTGTTTTAACCTTGAATTCTTTAAAATAATAATAAAATAAAAATAAAAAAAAAAAGATAACCAGAATTCCATATCTACCTTTTCAAATCCAGTCCATAATTCCTTCCAGAACTTACCATTAGTGGTGGCTGTTTCGTCTGCTTCACATGTCAGAATTCCCGCATTATCATTTGTTTTCTCAGTTTCTTTTGAAGTTGAATTAACTGGGGGACCAGCAACTGCTTTCGGCTTCAGAAGTTGGGCCTTATCTAGAAATCTGTTTTTTGCAAATATCACACTTCTGAAAACGTTAAGAAGATCTGAAGTTATTTAAGAAATATGGAAATTAAAAAAATAAATCCCTGCCATGCTAATGATTGCATCCAAACAATTTTTTTTTCCCAAAAAAAAAATTTCAGGTCTGAAAGAGCTCAGCTGCCAGAATATAAATGTAAAGGAGATCAAAAAAGAATATCAACAGGATACATGGTCCTTCTCTTTTGAGTAAGAGACCAAGTACGTACCTGAAGAGATGCATGAAGTAGAACATCTTGCAGTACATACTACAATACCTTACTTACAGACTTTTCTGTACATCTGCTTTGCTTTTTGAGGAAAGAGAAATATGTCTGTTCTGTTACTGTTCACATTTGGTACACACTGTAACACAATTACAGACAGACCAGAAATCTAGAAAAAATACAGTTTTGCTCTATTATAGGAGCAACTGCCTTCTTAGGGGGAAAATGCAGCTAGGAATGCTCTCACTTAGTTTCAGCATTAACAAGCTTCCCAAATATCAGCCACCGCTGTAAATGGTACTTGACAAGACATCACACATTTTATTCCCTAAAGTACACACATTCCTTACAAATTTGACATAGTATTGCTGCTGAAGAATGAATATTAATCAGAAACAAAAGAAAAGGCTGTTTAACAGAGACGAATCTCACTGCATTTTACATCTCCTGGATAAACAACTTTGTTGCCCCTGTCTTCAGATCCCTGTTATATATGGTACCCGGAGGGCAGCAGTACCAGTCATACCACAGCACAACTGTTTGTGAAGTTCTTCACAAACATGAAATTCTTCATCTGTGAAGAACGTATTCAGCCCTAAAGATTCCTCACAATGGGGCGACAGAACTGGTGGTAGAATTTTACATGCAGTTCAAGGAAATACAATGTCTGTCCAAGAAATGTTTACATCAGTAGTGACAAAAACTGGTCACTGTTTTACTTAGCTTTATAGGCATGATTTATAGTAATAGCAGTTTGAAAATAAAGGCATTTGATGATGTTTTGAGAGGTACAATGTTTAATAAGGACATAACTGTAGTTCAATATATGTAGACAGATGTATGCAGTCTACTCTTTTACACACAAATTATGACATTATTTTTTTAAGACTTTGATATAACAAACATTTTATTGCTAATAACATAGACTACAAGAACTCCATGTCATCTAGTCATCTCTGAGTGCGACTAGTATTATAGTATTATATTAGTGAAGCTCCCACTGACTGGAAAAGGGGAAACATAACTCCCATTTTTAAAAAGGGAAAAAAGGAAGACCTGGGGAATTACAGGCCAGTCAGTCTCACCTCTGTGCCTGGAAAGACCATGAAACGGATCCTCCTGGAAGCTATGCTAAGGCACATGGAGGACAGGGAGGTGATTCGAGACAGCCAACATGGCTTCACCAAGGGCAAGTCCTGCCTGACCAACCTAGTGGCCTTCTATGATGGAGTGACTACATCCGTGGACATGGGAAGGGCTACAGATGTCATCTATCTGGACCTCTGTATGGCCTTTGACACGGTCCCCCCACAACATCCTTCTCTCTCAACTGGAGAGGTATGGGTTTGATAGGTGGACTGTCCGGTGGGTGGGGAATTGGTTAGATGGTCACATCCAGAGGGTAGTGGTCAACGGCTCAATGTTCAGATGGAGATAGGTGACGAGTGGCGTCCACAGG